TTTGAGACCAGCCTGAGCAAGAGTGAGACCTTGGCTCTACTAAAAATAGAAAAATTAGCCTGGCGTAGTGGCACGTACCTGTAGTCCCAGCTACTTGGAGGGCTGAGGCAGGAGGCTTGCTTGAGCCCAGGAGTTTGAGGTTGCTGTGAGGTAGGCTGACACCACAGCACTGTACTCAGGGCAACAGAATGAGAGTCTATTTCCAAAAAACAAAACAAAACAAAAAAACAATGGGTGGGCATGTGTATACATATATAAATATGTAATGTATATCCACACCCCAATAAATGTTACCAAATTGTATGTACTATTCAGCCATATGCTTCTTTCATTAACAATATATCCTAGAGATGACTCGATAGCAATATATGAATAGATTTTTCGTTTTATTATGGTTGTATGATACAGTCGTGTGGGTGTGTAATAGTTCATTCTGGGAGTTCCCTATTGATGGACATTGGGGTTGATTTTAATCTTTTTTTGCTTTATAAATAATGCCATATGTTTTTTGTTTTTTTTAACCAAAGTATTGTAATAAAATCCTAAAAATAGGTTTATTAAAGAGAAAATGCATATATATTTCTTTCCAACATTTTATAATGAAGTTTCAAACATGCAGTAAATTACAAGGCTTTTACAATAAACACATTATACCTACCAAATGGTAGCATCCATTTATTTGCATTTATTCATTCCTCTAACTGTATGTCATCTTATTTTTGATGTATTTCAGAGTAAATTGCCGATCTCTGTATACTTCCCCTAAATACTTCGGCACATGTATCACTAATGAGTTTAATATTTGTAATATTAAGTGTAATATTTGTACAGGTTTTATCTTTTTGGTATAGAACTTACATACAATGAAATATGCAAATTTTAAGTATACATTTGTGTTTTGATGAATGTGTGTATCTCTGTAACCCAAGCCCTAGTAAGGTGTAGAGAACACTATCATCAGTTCAACAAATTCTTTTGTTTTTTATGATGGTAGGCAGTTATTAATATTTTACATTTCAGAATATTATGGGGGTACAAATGTTTTGGTTACCTGGATTGCTTTTGTACAGCTTGTATAAGTATGTCCATCACCGAGATAGTGTACATTGTACTTACTAGGTGTGATTTCACCCAGCCCCTCCTCCCCCCTCCCACCTGCATGATTTCCACTGAGTTTTACTTCCATCTGTGCACATGAGTGCTGATTGGTTAGTTCCAGTTTAATAGTGAGTACACGTAGTGTTTGTTTTTCCATTCTTGTGATACTTCATTTAGGAGAATGGTCTCCAGTTCCATCCAATTTTCAACAAATTCTTTCATGCCCCTTATTAGTTGATCCTTAACGCTGCATTTTCAGAAGTAATCACTGTTTACATGTTATTTTTTTTGACATATAATCTATAAGAGATTTTGAATGTATTTTAAAGTCATGCATTGACTTCATTTCGTAAGGATAATAGAGAAAGTTTCTTTTTGGTGTATATGTATAGGAAATTTGTTTGAGATGTGCCACTATTAAAACTTTTCCTTTTTTGGTCTGGCTTTCAAAGTTACCAACATGACATACTTTTAATGTCTCTTCTCCCCTTAATTCCACAAGCACCCCTGCCACTTTGGAACAGAACTACATAGTTTGTGAGCTGCAGCAAAAAGTAAGTGTGCTCTATTCCTTTTTGAGAAGCCATCTGAAGAAGAAGAGTATTGTATTTTTCTCCAGTTGCAAAGAGGTATGGACTGCTTTGTTTTTGTTCCTTCCTGAACTTATTCATGTTAAATTGTAAAGGAATCAGTGGATGAGACTTTAAGCTTCATGAGAGCAAAAACTGTTTTGTTTTGTTTTTTTTCCATTATTGTGCTAGGTGCTAACAATAGTGGACACATAATAGCCCTTGATAAATATTGGTAGAGTGAATAATTGTCAGCTAGGCTAAACAGAGGTCTTCATAATCTGATACTTACCCTCTGTAAATATGGAACTGAATGTACCACTTATTTCCATGCCTCATATCTTTGTTCATGGTGATCTTTGTCTGGAATCCCCCCTCTCCCTCCCCCTGCATCCGTTTTCCCTAACTCTGAGGAAATACTTAATGTTCTTTAAGGCTAAGTTTAAATGTTACACCTGAAAGTCCCTTTCTGATATTTCCTTTTTTAAGTATCAGTTGCTTCCTCCTCTGTCCTTTTGTAGTGCTTTGTTTGTATCTTTATTCAGTTAATAAACACTTCTTGAATGCTAGCCCTGTGCCAGCAATGAGGAATTCAGAGATGTATAAGAGAACTTGGTCTCCTCTCTTAAGGAGAAGGGTCCATGGTCTTTGTGTGTGTGTGTGCCACTTCTCTAATATATTTCAGATTCCTGATGATGTATGCAGTGTATAGATCAATTGTAGACTTGCAGCTTTTGTAGTAGGTTAGCATGATAAATACACAGGTGAGCTTCTCTCTAGCTTATAGAAAGGTAAGTGGTGATCTGTTTTTGTTGTTTACTAAACCCTATCATTTTACCATGCAGTTAATTAATTTATTTTTAGAAATGGCGTCTTCTACAGGCTGGAATGCAGTGGCACACTCATAGCTCACTGTAAGCTCAAACTCCTGGGCTCAGGCAATCCTTCCACCTCAGCCTCCTGTGTAAAGAATGACTTCAGTTTTTATAGGACCTATTTTAGATTTTCAAAACTTTACATCTTCCATTTCCTAAAGAAGGGTTGGTTTTCTTACCTGTTTTGAGTTCTGTTTAAAGTTTCTACTCTGTAATAAATATTCTTCTTTTCCTCTTACCATGGTGGATGAAGTATCCTTCCTTGTGTCTATGATCAGCCCTTCTAGTGTTTTCTAGGTTCTGTCCTCTGATTTGCACAAGGCATTTGCTACTGCAAATATCTACTTTCTCTCTTGCATTTTCTTTTCTCTCTATTCTTTAATATTGTCCATATTAAGAGTAAAAAAACAAATCCCATGTCCCTGTTCAGTCAATGCCTCTTTTCTCTGCTCCTCTTCATAGAAAACTTTTCTAAAGACCTATTTTACTAGGTGAATCACATTTTCACCTCCTGTGCTCTCCTTGGTCTTCCACTGAATGAGCCATTATTAAGAGATAACAGCTTTCCAGAGTCAGTGCTTAGTTATTAGTCCTTATTTTATTTTATCTCTCAGGAGCATTTGATACAGCTGACCATTCCCTCCCTCTCAAAATCAGAGTCATCTTTAGACACTTGTGACTCCACACTCATTAACCCTGCCCCTCTTCCTTTTTTCCTGCTCTGTTTTAACCCTCCTGTGCTGGGTTCTCCTCTGCTTGACCACTGCAATTGGGAGTGCCTTAGACCTCTACTCTGCCCTTTTTCCATTTATGCTCTCTTTCTGGGTAACCGTGTTAGTTTCATGGCTTTAAATTCATCTATATGCTAACTTCCAAATCCACATCTCAAGCCCTGCTTTCTTTCCTGTGCTCCAGACTTGTATATCCACTTTACTACTAGATATTTCCAATTGTGTGTCTAGAAGGCATTTCAAACTTAACATGGAAAAAACAATTTAAGAGTTCTTATCCCTAGATCTGCTTCCTCCAACTCTTCCTCCTTTCAAATGACTGACCTCTTAATTCCTGTCTTTATCCCATATTCAATCTGATGACTCACTAGCTATCACTTCTCACGACCTCCCATGCTATAGTGCAGTCTGAACCATGCTTAATTCTCCCCTAGCCTTCTAATTGCTCTCTCCATTC